AGAGAGAGAGAGAGAGAGAGAGAGAGAGAAAGTGAGAGAGAGATGGGGAGGGAGAGACAGAGACAGACACACACACAGGGAAAGCGGGAGAAAGAAAGAGAGAGTGAGACTGGATTCACTTACCGGAAGTCCTCGAACCTGGTACCGAGGGTTTTTTATGATGTCTAAGTCTGCCATATCACTTAGGCATAAATCAACAATGAAATCAAACAGCCTTTGTCCGAAATTCGTGTGGCTTCGAGCCTTGAATGCAACTGAATTTACACAGTGAAACAGACAATCTATCACATATTTTTTAAACGATCATTGATCGTTTCCGTCTTACAAATCTACAACAGCGTCAGGCAGAAGAATTCCTATAACCATAGTATGGGTTTCTTTGTCAGCATCTGTGGCGTAGGCGTTGCGAACGCGCTTCGTAATGCTGGGGTGCCGGGTTCGATACCAGCTGCGGGCCAACGCCTTGCGTTGGTTTCGATATTGGCAATGGCAAACTACTGGACGTAAACGTGCCTAAAAAAACACAACAGCCGAAATATGCTGGAGTTGGTTCTGCAAAGCCCTACTACAGATATGCAACTAACTTTATGGGGGTTCTATATAATTATTATATTTAATAATTTATACATGCAAATAATAACTCTTTATCAACTGAATATGTGTTTACGTTGTTGTGCCACCCCCCCCCCCCCCCTTTTTTTTTTCTGTGGGAATTGCAGCCTGGTCAGTTTTTCCCACGAAACAGTGATAAGTGTTTGGTGTATCTTTCACTGACACAGGAACAGTACAATTATGGAATGGCCCGTTTGCTGCGAATTTGAAGCCTCAGTTAATAACCAGATTTCCGAACGTCCAATTCAGAGCCAGCTCGTGAACTCAAACCGTGAAATCCATAGCCAATCAAAGCAGCTCTATGGAGGAGGTCTAGCAGGAAATCGATTTCCAGTTTCCTACAAAATCGATAAGTTAATAAACGGGTCTGATTCGTCAAATAAAGACCTGAAACCATTAACTGATGTGCAATTGATTAAGAAAATAAAATGTCTTTAAAAACGGTGCACTAACTGCGTGCCGTTGTGTGTTTAAAAAAAAAAGGCGGGGGGGGGGGGGGGGGGGGGGGGGGAGTGGTGGCTGTATCCTTCGGTCTGTGATGAAATTTCCTGACACTCGCCAGAATGATAAGGATACCATAAATGTACAAGCATTGCCATATACATCCTAAGGACATTGTCAGAAAGAGCTATAGAAGTAAAGACTGATTTGTACTTATGCTTCATAGACTATACAAAAGCTTGTGACTGTGTGAAGCTTGAAGAAGTAAACAAAAGAAAAAATAAACATTGATGGGAAAGATCTACGAATAATAAAGGAGATGTATTGGCAGCAAACAGCAGCTATAAGAATTAACGACTGTTTAGGTACATTTCAAAGCATAAAGAGAGGCGTACGACAAGGATGTGTACTGTCACCTGATTTGTTTTCAATATACAGTGAATATATAATGAGATCTTTAATTGATATGCCCGGAATTGTGGTTGGTGGGCACAATATAAACAATTTACATTATGCTGATGACACAGTCTTGATAGCAACAAGTCAGAAAGAACTACAGGAAATGATAGATATTGTGGTGTTAAAAAGTGGAAGAATGGGAAGACAGAAATAATGGTGGTATCAAAGAAACGAATTATTCCTAAATGTGTAATAAAATTCGATGGTGTTATTTTAGGACAAGTACAGAAATTTAAGTATCTGGACACATGGATAACATCAGATGGAAGATGCATAACTGAGATAAGAAACAGAATAGGACAGGCAAAAACTGCATTTTACATAATGAAAAACATCTTGTGCAATATATCCTTGTCATTGAGAGTTAGAAAAAGAATTCTTGCTTGCTACATACATCCAGTTTTAACATATGACTGTGAATCCTGGACAATCGGTAAGCAGGCCAAACAATTTCTAGAGGCCTCAGAGATGTGGTTTTACAGAAGAATGCTTAGAATACCTAGGACAGCTAAAAAGAGCAGCCAAGAGGTTTTGAAAGAGGCGGGAGCCTGAAGACAACTTATCACAGACATCAGAAGGAGACAGTCATCATTTGTCGGCCATGTTATGAGAAGAGGGAAAATAGAACATGCTGTGACCACTGGAAAGATATGTGGAAGGAGGAATAGAGGAAGACAACGAGAGAAGATGCTTGACAGTCTTGTTGCATGGCATGAAGGTGTGTCGGCACACGAACTGATACATGCTGCAGGAGATCGCAGATTATGGAGAGGCATAATCGCCCACGCCAGTCGGCAAGGCACCTGATGATGATGATGATGATGATGACCATAATAAAAACAACACTAATTAAGTGTTAAATAAGTATTCAACTAAGAAATATACACGTTAACGTGAATGTTACTACTAAAAGAACCACCAGTGAAGCCATGTAATCCACAAGGCGAAAGTTAACGACTACTAGCATACGCATACTTGTTTAGAACAACTTATGACTGATTTAGACGCGCTTCCTGTGTGTTCGGATTTCAACTGGCATCAATGAATCAATATTTATCTACCTAACGGGCCCAGTGGTAATACTAAAGTTTTAAAGCCAGGAATAACGTTACTACTCAAGTGTTTGCAATCCCTGGGGTTGTAAGGAATCGGTTACTGCAAACATTTAGCGTCGCTTGTATGTGACCCTTAACTATAACTGCATATTAATTAGTTCACGAGACCACAGTAAGGGCACACAGCCAGCGGTGGATCTACGTTTCAGGTGAAAGTAGTCCCATAGACCCTGGGACGTTGGGGTGAGGTTACACTTCTTGAATGTTGAATTAAGAATCCACATCACAGCACTCGGGACACTCCCATAAGCGCTCCGTCCCCATCTTAAGTAGCATTCCGATGGTACCAGTAACAGTCTGATTGTATATCCGTCTCGCTCCTCCCCGAGTGTCGAGCGTCGGCCAGATCCCCTTGTAACTCCTCGCAGTGCCATTCTCCTCAGACCGTAATGATCTATCTGTTCATCGGCACTGTTCACTCGCTCCCAAAGGGCCATCACAACATCCAGCTTGTCATATTGATCACCACCAAGTGGTGCTTAACCGGCACACTTCTTGAGAACCGAATATATAATAGTACACACACACACACGCGCGCGCACACACACATCCAAGAGCGCACACACGCACAAACTCATGCAGTTATAATATAATCAACCAGGGCTTTTGTTTCTAGAAAGAAAAAAAAAGGAGCCAATATTCACACACAAAAAGAGTTTCTTAAAATGTGCCTAAACTTAACACAAAGTGACCACTAAAGTAAAACTGAAAAATGTATGCCTAAAAATGAGCCGGTACTGCGTACTGTTGCGTACCAACATAAAAAGACCTGTAAACAACAGTGGCCGTGGCGGGGCAATGGTGATTCTTCTTCTCCACATCTTGCGAGCCCCAGCAACCTGCATCATCAGTTCGTGCGCTGATATCCTTCCACGCTATACAAAATTGTGTTAATGTTTCGTTGTTTTCACTGTACATTTTTTTTTTTCATAAATCTTCCCAGCTGTCACATGTTTTAAGAAAATATAATCATCATAAAGGGACTGTAGAAGTAAGGGTGCCAGAGAAACCCTAAAGCGAACGTTCATGAGAGAAACCAAAGGTGCTTGACTGGACTTTATCCATGCTATTCAGTAATTTCACAGGATTTAACGGAATGAAGAAGTGGACTGCGAACCCTATTCGACACTTTGAGGGGGCTCAGTGATCTCAGTAATTTCCCCTGTAATCTGGGTAGTTAGATCGGACTCCCGAGTGTATTGTTATGCAAGTAACAAATTCCTTTAGAAATCTGCCCGGGCAAAATTTAGAGTAAAAAATCTACCTTAAGTATTTCAGAATCCTCGCCTGTGCAACGAGACGTGTATTGCGCTGAAGTTCTTCAGACTCAGGCTTGAGTTAGAAGTAGAACGGAGCACTTGTAGGTTACACCCGTGTGCCATGATGTTGATCCGTCGAATGAACAAAAAAAAAGATGACACACACACAACACACACACACACACACACACACACACACACACACACACAATAGGACAATGAATGAATGAATGAATGTTACACATTTCAGTTTTTATCTTCTCATAATATGGTAAAATAATAATGACTGTCTCATTCACGGCAGCCTCATTATAATGTGCGAGGTGCACATTATACAACAATGGCAGCCTCTTTATAATGTGCGAGGTAAGCACACAACGATGGCAGCCTCATTCTGATGTGTGTGGTAAGCATAAAACCATGGCAGCCTCATTCTGATGTGTTTGGTAAGCATACAACGATGGCAGCCTCATTCTGAGGTGCGAGGTAAGCATACAATAATGACAGCCTCGTTATAATGTGCGAGGTAAGTATGCAACGATGGCAGCCTAATTCTAATGTGCAAGGTAAATATACAACGATGGCAGCCTTATAATGTGCGAGGTAAGCATACAACTATGGCAGGCTCATTCTGATGTGTGTGGTAAGCATAAAACGATGGCAGCCTCATTCTGAGGTGCGAGGTAAGCATAAGCCGATGGCAGCCTCATTCTGAGGTGCGAGGTAAGCATAAGCCGATGGCAGCCTCATTATAATGTGCGAGGTAAGTATACAACAATGACAGCCTCATTATAATGTGCGAGGTAAGTATACAACGATGGAAGCCTCATTCTAAGAGAGTGCTAGAAGTAGCAAGATAAAATATAGAGGTTAACGAAAACCTGTCACAGAGAGTGTACATGACAGGAGACAGAGTGTAGATCAACAGCCAACCGTCATTACGGAGGCGGTATATAGTTAGTTGATTATACAGGGGGGGGGGGGGGTGTTTTAATCTATTTGATTTTTAAAGTTCACCCGCTTCTAGTAGTGTATGATCGAAAAGCTAAACTCAAAGTATACTAAGTAATAATAGACGATGAATATGATTCGTAATGACAATTAATTCACTTACTTTGTTTTCTGTTCCCATTTTCACTGTCATTCAAACACCTGCTTACAATATTACATAGTTACATCCCTTGTTTCCAAGACACCCATGACGCTTTGGCTGATTAAGAAATATAATTTATTCATGATTAACAATTCAAAATAAGACTATTAAGGCTGATATAAGGTTATTATATGTTATATAAATTATATTTATGTATTTAATAACTCAAGTATATTTTATTTATTGTAAAATTTGTTGATAATATTAAACAATCCGTGTGAGTTTATAGTTTGTTATGTATCTAGGAGAGACATTTTTATATTTAAACATGGCGGATACTTAACGACGATCAGCTTGCAACTTGGTTACCATCCAGTGTTTTCGCCTACACTATAATCTGCGAAGATGAGGTCTATGATATACCAAAAGAAAGCTGGCGGAACAGTTAAAGTTCACAAGAGAGATACAGTGGATCAAATAGTAGACGACGGTATCAGAGAGAAAACGCAGTTGGATTTGTTTGTTCAGGTTAGTAATTAAGTAGTCTAGTGTTAGTCATTTTTAATTTTTGCACTTTTTAAACTCAAACGATGACCCTAGCTAGAGGGACGCCAATCTACTGTTAGTGTTTGTTTACGACGACCCTAAGGGAGACAATCGATCGTTTGTATACGTTCACATATCGTCTTGGTTGGCCCAGGCAGAGACAGTACTTCACCGAGTGATTTCCCTTCAAGACAAAAACCCTAGCTAGGAATGGATACCTAGACCAAATGAATACATAAGCAGTACTTTCTGGTGGTTATCACCCTGACAAGACAGTGCCATAATTTGGCGTCACCAATAGTTGATTCAGAAGTGAAACACTGGGACACTAGACAGTGTTGTGAAAAAGGCTCAAAAAGGTCCTAATGTACCAAATATTATGGCAGCAATGGTCGTCGCTGTTTACACTTTACCAGCACTTAATCATCTCAGTGATTGATTATGGATTGAAGTTACTCACTGTCTCAAAAAGTCAGCTAGAGAAACTGGAGCGCATAAAGAATGAAGCTATGCTGGTGATCATAGGATGTACAAGAGACACCCTTATTGTGTGCATGCGATCCATCCTTGCATTGCCGATTGCAGATAGGCTGTCATACCTCAGAGTACCTGCAGACAAAGAACATCCTCTGTATGAAGCATTGAAGGTAAAATTCAGAGGCTGAAAAGGGAAAAATCGTGCATGGCTGGAGCAGAAGACACAGTAAGACGAGTATGCATGCAGTAGAGTAAAGTATGCATGCAGTAGAGTATTGGGCTAGGAGAGGAGTGGGTCAGAGTACCAGCAAAAAAGTATGATCTGTGTAGGGTTATGATCACATTGGGACGGGAGTGCAGAGAGTGGCCAGCTGGTTCTACGGAGGCTGAAGTCCAACAGTTGATTCACAACAATTCACGCCAAGATGATCTATACAGATCTATACAGATGGTTCGGTATTGCGAGGAAAGAGAAGTGCCTGGGGGTTTGTAGCAAAAGCCAATGGAAAATCTGTAGTGCAGGACAGCCTGGCATATGATACCACCACTGAATCATAAAGAGCAAATGTATTTATATGATACTTGTGAAGCTTGGCTGCATTGAATTGATTACTATGAAACCTGCCCTTGAAACCAATCACCATCTCATCAACAGACAGCTTTTCACATGGGTAAAAGGCAGACTGAAACTCTGCTTCTAAATTATTCACAAATGGTTTAATCTTTGCTTGGCCTTGTCTGTTTTGTTCTGATGCATGCAGCATTGACTGGTAGACAAGCAAGAACTTAGTTCTTAGAAACATTACCCTGAACCATGGTGTGAATTTGTGGTTCGCTGTAGACCTGTAATCTTTGATGTCGTGTTTCAGTGTAATTCCCATTGCTATCAGTACACTGAGAAACTGGAAAAAATGTCCTCTGGTCATTGGCTCCCAATCAGGCAATGTATACTTTTTTTTCAGTGGTTTTTATTTCTTTATTTTTTCCACTGTATAAAGATTTATGTTTTTAGCAAGACTATCAATGATATCAGTGGTTAGCAATGTGAATAAGCAGTCTAGTGGTGTTGAATTTTCATTCAATGGTGCCTGAATTCCAGACACAGCCGAGTGAAACAAGGACAGTCTGATCAAAACATTTTCTTTAACTTCATCCCAACCCATATTGTGAACAATAGGTGCTGCATGTTCATTATTGTTAATCATAATGTCAACACTACTGTTGTCACTATCTGGCTCAGATTCATTAACGACAGCAGCAGTATGCGCACTTCTATGGGCTGTGTTATTGTTCTGATTTCCCTTGACATTTGGTCTGCCATGTTTTGTAGCAGGTGGTTGATATTCACGATCATCCTCATTGACATTATTGGATAATTCGGAATCTAAGTATCATCACTACTAGAATTGCCTTCTTCATCTAAAGCCTGAGTTTTTGTCATTCTTTGAGCTCTATCTGCAGAGGATGTTGAAGTATGAAAGCTGCCATTTCAGGAAAATCACACAACAAAATTGTATCCCACTGAAGAAATTCAAAACAAATCAGATACTAATGTAATGAACATGTCAGACTTTGCAAATGGAAATACTTCTACTTATCTAATTCTAGTTTTCATTACATGTTCATACAATATATTGTTTCGATAGCTGGGAAAACAAATTTGTATGAACATCTTTTAAAAAACTAGAAATAGTGAAACAAAGTCCTTTAGTTTTTAAAGTTTGCCATGCTGTTTGTGTCACTTTCTGAAATGTTTTAGATGTATTACATGGGATACAGTTGTGTGATTTTTCCAGACCAAATTATAAGGGAAAAGGTTGTTGATGAATCTCAGCCAGATAGTGACAATAGTCTTGTTATTATGACTGATAATGCAAGTGACAAACCTATTGGCAATAATATTTGTTAAGAAGACACTGAACAAAATATTTCAGTCGGATCATCTCTCTTTTGATCAGATGTTTTTCTGATTTTGGTTGTTGTGAAATCTGACATGTCTTACAAAAGGTCATTACATCCAGAGTATTTAAATTAATTGTTTCAAATAAAGACTAACTGATACATAATTGAACAGAGAAGACAAATGATTTCTTAGAATTGGATAGCAGTGTTGTTCATCAAGTAAAAATTAAGGTAAGCGCAACATTTTTTTGGGGTAAATAATTTTTATGTGTTTCTAACATCCTTGAATGTTGTGTGATTTTAATATTTTTTGTAATGCTGATACTTTAGTTTAGATTTATTCTCAAATTATTTCTCTTTAATTTGATATATGTCTCTATACAGCCAATACTTTTTCTTGAGGAAGGTTTTAGCTTTGTCATGTTGCAGTAAAACAAAAAGTCCGCTTAAAATTAATGCTGTCCCAATCCCAGAAAAAAATGTTGTCCTGAAAGAATTAAAATAGTAGTTGATTGTCCTCATCAAATTTATCTTTAGGAGAAATTTCTTCAAAGACAGCATAGACATTCCCCCCTACCATTCTGTGTGTGGATTCTAATTCTAATAATAGATTGCTTGACCTTTGTTATGGTTTGCAGATTAAACAACTTTGGCATTTTTTTTTTTAAATAAATAATTTTGAATTTTTATTTGATTATATTTGACTGAAATATCTATCTCATATTATCAGTTTCACCGCACATTTAATAAATAAATTATTTAAAAAAAAAAAAAATAAACATCTCAATCTCCAAGCCATCTTGGCAAATTTGGACCAGGAATCCATACCTGGATTCTTTACCACAGAGTACTGATATAAGATCCAGAAGATGTGCTGACAGTGCTACCGTAGCTCCCTGATAATTACTAGAAAAAAATTGATTCTGACTTCTGACTGACCGCAAAATTATGTTCTGGTTTCCCTGATGTATTCCAGAAAAGACCAAAGCACATAAAGAGGCAGGGTCCAAGAGCATTATCTGCTCCAGCTTCAACAGTGAGTCTTGGCTCTGGCAGTCAAAGCAATCAGTCGGCAAAAACTCAAGACTGGTTGAATGAAAGCACAATCATAGAGCTGCAAGTGAGTGTTAATCAACTGTGTCTTAATCAAACAGCCCTGTGACACAAGTATACTTCTTCCTGCACGCGTGCCCTCACGCGCACACACACAGACACACACACCCACACAGACACCAACAGACAGACACACAGAGACACACACATCATCAGCATCAGTTCTCGTTATGCCTAGTGGCACATGAGGCTTCAGAGAGGACTTTCTATGCTTTCCTGTCCTGTGCAATCTTCAGTGCAGTTTTCCATGTCAAAGATGCCACACTCAGGTCACTTTCCATCGTTCATCTTCATGTTATTTTTGGGCGCCCCCTGTTTTCTCTTTCCCTCTGGTGTCCATGTGAGAGCTGTTTTGGCAGGTATATCAGAATTCATTCTCATAACATGACCAAGCCATTTCCATCTTCTCTTGGTAATCATACTGTCTAAAGTTTCTTGGTTTATGACTTGAAGTAGTTTAGTGTTTGAGATTGTATCTGGCCAGAAAATTTTGATAATTCTACGTAGACATGTGTGATGGAAGGTGGACAGCTTGTATGGATCCTTTTTGGTCATTCTCCAGCATTCCGCTCCATAAAGAAGAACTGGCAAAATTAGGCTCTCGTAGAACACAGCACACACACTAGCATCACACACCAGCATTTACATTATCTCTTTTCAGATATAGTTTTTAGATAGTTTGCTATGGTATAACTATGGTAAGGCTAATAATAATAATGTGTGATCTGAGAGTAAGGCCTGGTGAAGCATGACTGTGCCCTCTTCAGAATAGGAGATATTACCAAATTTCATTGGAAGATTTAGAAGAGATGCATTGGGGTGGCTGCTGCATCGGATGAATGAGCACATATGTGAATGTCCAGTGCAAAGTTACGTTTATTGTGATAATATAACATAATAATAACTTTAACATTTCATTCAATTTGCCACAGAATAACAGGAAATTTTTATGTTCTTTTCAGTCTCAAAGAATGAACATTGTATAATAGGTTCATGCCTCTGAATCACAACCATTGCTTCCCTTGTGGGTTCTGGGGCCCAATTATAGGGAAAACAAGAAAAGACCCACTGCCTACCCAAAAGCATGTTGTAAGAGTTGACTAATAGCGAGCTTCCTTCAAAGTCGGAGTGCATCTGCCTGAAAGGTAAGGAACCAACAGTCTGCATACAAATTAGTCAGATCTGTCAAATGGATGAGTGGATGAACAACTAGAACTTTCTGCCAGAGTTTACAGCCGGTGAATGCGAAGAAGAAGAGGAAGACAACCATTGCTTTATGTTTTCCTGTGTCATTATATTTTTGGTCAGAGCATACTCAAGAAGTCTGGTTCCCCCAGTTGTCACTTTCATTGTGCTTTTAGTTTTTTAGAATGAGTACACTTTTGTGTGGCTCTGTGGCTAAGAGGTTAGTTGTTGTTAGTGAATGAGTTTAACAACTTTTTGATCCTCAAGTACTGGAGTTGAATTTTTTCATCAGATGTTTTTCTTTTCTTCAAAAACTGTTCTAATGGTTGTTGAGCAATGGTATAAGAGTCACATGACATAAGAGATTGAAGCTTCACCACAGACTATTTCTAAAGACAGCAGCAGAAACATTGTAGCCACGCTTCATTGTAAAAGGTGGAACTCATTAAAATAAAATTCACATTTTGTTTGTAGTAGCTTCCCCTGTGCATCTGCTATGAAACTACTAGAGACTGAAAGAGAACAACAAAAAGTCTTTTCGCATACTATAAAATTGCCTTTATTTTTCAGAAAAAGGCAATTAATGAAAGCCATGCTACTAAACAACTCTACACAAATTTCATGGAAACAGAAAGAACTTTTGTTAAGGTAGGCTTATATTTTGCGACAGACTAAATCTTTCGCTGGCTAAGATTGGATGTAGATGACATTCATTTTTTAAATTGGATATTATAATTTTTCTTCTTTGCATTCACCAGCTGTAATCTTGGTCCTGGTTGTTCTTCCAGTTATGCACTTAGGGATTATTCCAGGACTTGAGTTTTGCATGACCATCCGTTTTACATATCTGGCTTTATTTGTGTGCAGAGTGGTGGTTTCTCACCTCTTAGCCAGATGCAGTCCAACTTGGAAGGAAACGTCAGTCCTGTTTTTGCCAGGCTCCTGTTTGGGAAAATGTTTCTGTAATGATTACGGGCAGTCATTGACATGATCTGACCAGTATGAGCTCTGATCCTGGTACACTGCCACGTTGAGTTTCAGCCACATTCAGACTCTATGAATTATTAACTTTTGTGCCATGTCAGATTACACAGTGTGAAATCAAAAATGGAACTAGTCAGCTTCATATTATCACAAACGGCAAGTGAGTGTTGCAGCTGGAAAGCCTTTATCTGCACATTACAAGGATATACATCTGTTTGTTTGTTTTAGTATCCAGAACCATGAGTTGTTAACCCTTAGGCTCGGTATTATGGATATCGCAACCTTTCGGCCTTGATTCCATTTTAAATACCGTAAATCTGGAAGAAATGTGGCTTTTCTGCCCACCCCTGGGAGTGAACCCGGACCACAAGGAGTTTGTCACCCACTCACCGCGCAATCCAGTTTAGCCAACTACTCTAGAGAGACGGGCAAGGATATACATCTAACTTACTTGGTCGCTTCTCTGCCACTTTGGGGTGCAGAGGAGATCGCCAGATTTCTCTATCAGCAGTTTTCTTTTTGACTTTGCTCTATTCAAGTACTGTGTCAGTCAGGGACTATTGGATACTGCCTTCCTAGTGAACCCTGGGTCATCCTGGTGGTCTGGTTCTTGGTCTCCCATGCCTGCTGTGGTGGCCGATCCTCTCCCATTCTGCATACATGCCCAAACCATCATAACTTGACTGATCCCCTAGAGTTTATTAAACTTGGGTTTCAAGGTTATGACGTATTGTCATATAGAATACCTCAAATACTAACAAGAATACAAATAAATCTTATATTTAAAGTATCTCTGAGAGAAATCACATGTCTGTCTTGTCAGTTTAATCTCTGACATGTGTGTGACCACTTAAAATAAATAGTAGTCAGAAAAAAACGTTGCTAACAGCAAGGACAGGAGTGCCCCAAAAAATTAAATAAAACTGTATTGGATGTTAAGTCCTAGGTGAATTGGAAACTTGTGTGATGCATTTTATTATAAACATATCACACCACTATGTCTCCATGTGGAACCCATTTTCTGGTTTTTATTTTGGGCTACTTCCTTTGGTTCACAAGTACAAGTGATTCAGAGATCGTTGGGGATTGTGGCTGGAGCTACTGAGTTCATGCTTTGTGTAATGTTCTTGCAGCTGGGCCACCACTTCATGGAGAGGTATCCTGCCATTAAGGATAAAACCAAGCTTAATTAAACGTTTCTAGTAATGAAGCCAGGCCCAGCCAGATATGATTCGACATTCATTGATGCATCTTAACCTTTGAAACGCGTAAATCTAAATGGCAGGGTGTTAGGTTGGTGCCAGATTGTTTTGTGTTGGCGGTCTTACCGGTGACCACGCATGCTCTATATTACAGGATGTCAGCAGTTTTAATGACAGCATAACATGTACAACTGGCTCTAACCGCAACCCCCCACCCCACACACTGAGCCTAGATCCCATGAGAGAGTGCATTTTACGTGAGCACCCCCAAGGCCCACCACAAAATGTTAACTTTTCTGAAACCACAGCACATAGGGTGCACTCTGTCATGGGATGTAGGCTGGGGGTGGGGGTGGGGGTTGGGGTTCTCGATTTTCTGAGGTAATTAAATTAACACGCAATGCAGAAAGCCTTGCAAAGACAACAGTACATCGAGGCACCTCTCTAACGTAGACCAGTCTGAGCAAGCATCAGTGAAAGGTCAGTGTGTAGCTAGGCCTGAGCTGGATCCGGATCCAACTTCATTACTAGAGCCATTAAACTGATCTTCTCACCTTTAAATACCTCAAGGAGCTTTGTGATCGTCCTTAAATATATTCTTGTAAACATAATGTGATGGTTTCACTTTTGCTTCTATAGGTCTGTATACCACTTGTGTATTATAATAAAAACAAATATGCCTCTTTCAGTCATTTCTAACAAGGGTGCTGAGCTCAAGGAGCTGCACAACCTGGAGTTCCTTTCAGTCAGTTTCTACTCTCCTTCCATTGTTAAATTAAAGAAAATATTAAAAGACCTTTTCCATGCCACTGTGGCCCACCTCCCTTTCCCCTTTGAGTTTCCACTTTGTAGTGTAGTCAGTTCACTTTCTGATAGCAGCTTGACGGCAGACACCCCTACTTTTAATACTTGTGGTTTCACGAGCCAACTAGAATATTATTAACCCTTTTAATGCTAGAAGGTTTTGCTGTAGATACTCAAAGAAATAAATCGCCATGCTCCACGTGAGGGTTCCAGGACACTAATGTGGGAAAAATAAGAATAGATTCACTGCCTTCCCAACAAGCATGTCACTAATTGGGAGCTTCCTTTAAAGTCAGAGTGTATCTGCCTGAGTGGCAAGGAACAACCAGCTGCACACAAATAAACCAGTAAAACGGATGTACACGCAAAAACCAGGTCAAAGCCAAAGTCCAAATGGATGAACGGCGAGAACTTTCCCCCGGAACTTACAGCCAGTGAACAAAGTAGAACAAGAAGAATCATCATGTGAAATATCACTAATATATTAATCTAAAAATAGGGGAAATGCTATAGAAAGATTCTCAGAATATCATGGATAAAGAAAAGAAATACTGACATCCTGAAAGCTCTGAACATTGAGGAAGATTGGCTAGTAAACAGCATCTTGCCTTGGAAACTGAAATATTTTGGCACATCAAGAACCACAGAGGGTTGGAAAAAATAGTAGCAGAAAGCATGGTACCAGGAAACAATAGCAGGGGCTGACTAGCCCATAGATGGGCTCGGGATTCAGAAGACACCTTGGGTAAGAAAGTGCATTAGGCGGGAGAGCTGGTGAGAGATTGAGTTTCTTTCAGGCAAGCTGTGATGTGAGCATCATCCTGCAAAAGACCTGCAAAATGATGATGATAATAATACAAGCTTTAGGACAGACCGTTGTGAATTAAGAACTAACAGGGACTTAAAGAGTTAAAGAGGTAACATTCAAGGATTGTTTACCTGAGATATATTTTTTTGCCTGCAGAGTCTGGAGGACTATCTGACCCACAAAGAATTCACTGATCTCAGAAAGAAAGAACTTCTGCATAAAAGATGGACAGAAGAAGTGTATGAGCCAATCAGAAAGAAGATATTGGACACCATTGACAAGTCAGACCGGAACGAAACTGATTACCTTAAAAGAGAAAAGCACAGAAAGTTTCTAGAGCATCTTAACAAAAAGGTGAGTTATAATGTCACTGTCATGTGAGTTCCGGGGCACTATTGGCTGAAGGGGTGGGATGGTGGAGATAGGCCCATTGCCCCTAACAGGTATGTTGTAAAATTAGGGATTTGCAGAAATCAGATGTTTTAGGCCGAAAGGTGCAGATATTGCAGCATATCTGTAAACCACAGCACAAATTGCCGCCAACCACCCTTTTAAGGGTAAATACAGATGAAGAAGAAAATCACATAAGTACAAGTTTTCAACATATGTATGTGTGTGTGTGCATGTACTTATTACATACATATGCACAGAGAAAGAGAAATTGAGAGAGAGAGAGAGAAGAGAGAGTATATTTCTGTTTCTAGTTAACTGTAGCCAAATGTCTTAAAGTTCATGACGCCATTTGAAAACAAATAGGAAGATCCTTTTAATTTCTATAGGTTTCACCTCTTTACTGATTATGGAAAAAAAAAAACAGATAACAGAACGCTGCTCCTCTTTAGTGCATGTCAAAAGTGGGTGGCTGTCTATAAATTATTAGTATGATGTCACCACTGCTGGTCTGCACTGCGATGTCATGTGCTTAACACTCTTGACATCTTCAATGAGAACATTGACAGGTTACAAGACAGTAGCATGGTTATTGTAATATCTATAACACTTTTATGGTTTTCGTTTGAAGCCCCCTCATATGTTTAGGTTTAAACAACTGATCATCATTGCACAAGGGTAGTAACCCATAAGATCTCCGTTCTACTTCTAACTCAGTGCCAAATAATCTCAGCTCAGTGCACGAACTCTATAACACCGCAAATACCCTGGGTAGATTTTTTACTCTAAATTTTGCTGGTCCAATTTTACTACCCAGAGGCCATAGAAAATACTAGAAATCCGCATGAAAAAATTGCAGCCTACACCGGGGCTTGAACCGGGGACCTCCAGCACTCGAGGCGGATGCCATGCTTCGAGGTCACACGGCCTCTCAAGTGCCCCTCATATGTGTTAGTGTGTATAGGAAAAGATATGGGCATTCCTCTGGCAGTTACTACCTTAATGTGTGTATGAAGTGTTAGACCGTCAACATTTAATAAGTCACTCCAAACTGAGGAGAATTCAAGGTGGCCAGTGTGCTTTTGATCGTTATCATCCATCTAGTACCGACTGGTCTGTAAAAACATGGGTCCAAAAACAAATGCCAAGGGTGTGTAATTGATCCTTTAGTTTTTTTAAGTTTTTTCATTAGTTCACTTTGGTTGTATACTTTTACAGACAGACTCTTGTTAGTTCAGCTCTTGATGTTTTCTTTCCATTTGTATTGTTGTCTAATTCTTAGTCAGCTGCCTCTGATTCTTCACTCCAGTAGGGTTTTACAAGAATGTCCTGCCTTTTATTTGGTAGTCGACATGGTGTAGTGGCTAGACGCTGGCCTATGGATTGGAAGGTCGTGGGTTCAGGTGCTGATGGTATTTAACTTTTTTTTTTTTTAAATGATTTTAGCTCCTAGGTTGACCCAGCCTTGAGTGGGTACTATGCCGAGTCCTGGAAAGTAAAGAAGCAAAGGCGGCAGGCGTGATGCTGACCACATCACTCACCAAGTGCGGATTGGTAGATCTAGCCCAATATGCCTAAAGGTGTGGAAAAAGGTCCTTCACTTAAATTGACATATCTTTTAATGATCCAAGACATGAAATTAGTCTTGTTTTTATTAATTTCATAAGCTCTAGTCACACATTTTTTGTAAAGAGGCAAAAGAGGAGAATGTCCTGAAACCAGTTGCTACAGAGAGACATAATGAAAATAATATAATAGGAAGGGGAAGACCATCAAGAACAGCAGCAGCGTAGAAGAAACGAAGGCCAACGTATACACAGCATTAGAAAAAGCCATAGGTGATCCTTGATTGAAGTAACTTCAGATTGTGACCGATACCATCAGTATTAGAACTCTAGGCTGGCTGCTGAAGATGAGAATGGAGCACACATGGGAATGCCCCAAGTGCTGTGATATCTATCAATTCTTGACTCAAATGCAACTCAGCTCAGCTGAGGTAACTAAGAATGAGAAGGAGAAAAAGGTATTGATGCAGTACCAACGTCTCTTAGATTTCTCTTTTTTTTTTTCCACCTTTTAAATATGGCCTGTTCTTTTTATATAGTGATTTGTATTGCTCCATTTATTCAGGGTGTTGTGTTTCTGGATGGTGATGATAGAGAAGAATCTTCTGTGGAGGCAGTCAACTCACTGGGCAAGGTAAATAGTTCTCAAGGCCTTTTCAAAGTGAAGTATGTTTTGTAAATTTTATCAGTTAAATATTTCATGTTTAGAACCTGTTTACTTGAGCATAACATTCATTAGGGCTTATGTCTCTGCTTAATTAAGACTTGCACATAATTGTGGAGTATAATTGTCAGTTTGGTTGGTGTGGATTATAGCATAATAAGAAAATATTTTATAATTATTTTAATATTTCTGTAGTTTTAGTGTAGTGTTACAAGTTTTTTCTGGAGGTTTGTAGGTATAAAATATTTTTAAAATTATTTAATTTTGTAGTTTTAGTGGTATGGATTTATATGTTTTTTTTTTTTTCTGGAGGTTTGCAAGAATAAAATATTGTAAAATTATTGTAATATTTTGTAGTTTTAGTGGTATGGAGTTACATGTTTTTTTCCGGTGTTTTACAAGTATGAAATATTGTAACATTTTTTAAATATTTTGTAGTTTTAGTGGTATGGGGTTACATGTTTTTTATTTCTGGAAGTTTGCAAGTATGAAATATTGTAACATTTTTTTGAATATTTAGCAGTTTTAGTAGTATGGAGTTACATGTTTTTTATTTCTGAAGGTTTGCAAGCATGAACTATTGTAAAATTATTTTAATATTTTGCAGTTTTTGTGGTGTGGCATTACATTTTTTTTCTTGTAGGTTGGCGGGTATGAAAATGACTAATCACTTTATCCAGGAAATTTCACTGCATATACAGCAGTCAGCTTTCATAGCAAAGCATAAACCATCAACCACCTCATGGGAAGGCTCTTGGAACTTGTTTTTTTAATGGATTTTGCAACTATAACTTTCTGTGGGATATACTGGCCAGTCTTACATTACCTCCCCTTACTCAGCTTTTACAATCTGGTATATCACTTTTCCATGTAGGTTCTGAGGCCTGGGGGAGGGGGGGAGAGGGAATAACTACTGCCTCCCTGTCAAGCATGTCGTAAAAGGCGACTAATTAGGGATTTTTCCTCTGAAGTCAGAGCGCATCTTCGTGAGAAACAAAAAACCAGAGTCTGAATACAAATTCAGTAGATCTGAAAAATGGATACACACATAAAATTCAAGTTCCGTAACAAAAATAAAATCCAGAAGTGGACAAACAACCAGACCTTTCTGCCAGAGTTTACTGTCAGTAAACACGTAACAGAAGAAGAACAAGAGGAAGGCCGTATTACTGGTTCTATGTTTCTGTAATAGGTCGTAGGCAGTCTCCATGGTTAAGCTCTGAAAGTTATGGGTTTGTTTCACGGACTGTGTCATTCATATCCCAACTGCAATTTTTAAAGAGATCTCAAGGGATTATCACTGGAGCTATGGAGTTTGCACTGTGCAACACCACATGGCTTAAAACTCTATTCAGTGAAGTTAATCTTCTCCACTTTAAACTTTCCTTCATGAGCCCTGTTAACATACAGACTGATATTCCTAATTTGGTCAAAATAGGAAGAAGAGGATTGGTACTGAACGAGTTAAATAAGTGTCTTTATTTTCTTTAAATTTGAACCAAATATTAACCCTTTTACTAGCGAATGCTAAAAACATGCATATAAAAACCCATGGATCTTCTCGAAAAATCCTTTTTAAAAAAATAAAAAAAATTATATTGGTCACTAATAAAAAAAATTGTGTGTGCATTTGTGTAATTTAAAAATTTATAAATATTTAGAGGAGTAATCAGTAAACCTGATCAGAGTAAGGATTAAAATGAAATACATTCGCCCTGGCATAAAAAAAAAAAAGTATGTATCGGATGACACATGCCACAATTTAATGACACATTTAACGTTAACTTAGCTTTAAAAAAAAAAAAATTGGGATCATAAGGAAGCCCCCTCTAAATGCTATTTTTAGTTTCTACATTCATATCCTAGCCCAAGAAACACTGTCCAGGTAAACATAGGAACAGTGGAAATTTAAATAAGCTTTTCAAGAACTGGTCACTGCAAAACCTGGTGATATTTTAACAGCACTGTGTCACAACCTGAATTGACTAGATTTAGTCTTTTCAGGAGGACAGGGTTAATATCATGGCTTTGCTGAATGGGGGAAGCTGCAGTGGTGTAGTGGCTGGATGCCCACTTCCCAGCACAAATTTCTGAGTTTGAATCCATACGGATACATTTTGGAGGTGAAAAAATGACCTTGGCTCCCAGGCTGACCCAGCCCGACCCAGCCCAAAATAGGTACAATGAAATATCGTAGGAAGTAAAGGTGCCAGAATGATGTTTACCACATAACCACCAGGTGCATATGGGTCTATACGAGTATGGGTCTAGCATCATGTGCCAGATGTGCCACTGACATAAAAAAGAATCCTTGACCTTTTCTTCACCTTCCCCTGTAATGGTAGACCTTTAATATGTACACCCAATGGTGTGTTTTTTTTCTTCTGGCTCCGAAACCCTTGTTTAGCCACGGTGGTGAATATCGGCACCTATTTTTCAAGAACAAAGCCATGTGTACACCAAATAGCATAGTTCACATTTCAGGTGAAAACAAAGCCTTTGCTAGACCCACTTCATACTGAGAGTCGGCAGCGAACTGAGGATGAAAAAACTATTCTGCTCTGTATGACTGGTCATCACTATACAAACAGTGATCTTAGAAAGGTAAGAATTAAATAATCTTGAGTTTAATTACCCACTCAGTTATTTTAGATCACGTAGAAAACAATTGATTCTAGCCATTAGCCTTATTTACTGTTGCTGAGAAATTCATGTAGGAAAGTATAAAGAGGCACAAATGGTATGAATTACAAATAACATGATTAAATTATATGTTAATGTTAAAATATGTTATGTGTGTCTTATTTTTCATTTCAATTTTTCAACATTTATTTATTGATATATTAACAAAAATATTTAATTTCTCTTTATTGTTTTGTTTGGCTGAAAACCTGCCTGTTCACCCCTTACCTGTTTATCAGTGGCAACTTGAAGTCTTTCCAAAATAATCCTACTTAATATTTTTCTAGGAACTGACAGCAACAAAATCCCTCTATAGTTTTAACATTCACACAGGTAAACTTTTCGAGAAGTTTTTATAAGTGTCACATAAATCTGTTGTCACGTACCTTTGATAGGGTTTCCCATGATGAACCGAAAGGCACTCTGAAGTAGTTTTAATGTTAAGATGTTGGCTCGCAATGGTCTAGGTGGTATCCCACAGCTCCAATGAACATCCAATCTACTTCAGGGGTGAGGCGACTCAAATTATGGCACCACAGAATACATAAACATTCCAAAGCGCAACTTGGCCTGACTTCCTCACTTTTAATGCCCCCCAAGACTAGACAGTAATCCTATGCTAGTCACATTAACACAGTATAACATGAATTATAACAATATAAAGAATACTCTAGACACTTTAGAACTGTGAATGATGGACACTAATCAAACAATGTGAACTAACAAAACAACATATTATCAGTGCAACACATGTAGGAAAAAAAAGAATAGAATTCAGCAAGATCAATAATCAAACCAGCTAACACACAATGTCCTTTACTTACTTTGTCTTGAGATGACTGTGTTTTGAGTTGAGGTTTTCTTGGGATGAGTTTATTCTTCTCCGTCTTCTTTTTCTTCACATTCACTGGCTGTAAACTCCAGCACAGAGTCAAAGTTCTGGTTGTTTGTCCACTTTTGAACTTAAGTCTCAATCAGATCTTGAGTTCCGCATGCACATCTGGTTGACAGATCTGGCTTATTTGTATGCTGACTGTCGGATCCTCGCCTCTTAGGCAGATAAGCTCCAACTAAGGAAGCAAAGAATATACTACTCCAGATGGACTTCTGGTTAGTCCCTAGCCACAGCCATATTCATCACTGCCACTTGTGGAATTTTGGACTTAGGAAACAGGCACTGAAAGTTAGAGTTAACCACCAGCACTGTGATCTCACTTAGCTGTCCAGGATATCCTATTCAGTAGACTTGAGGCATCCTGTCACATCTGGCAGTGCAGGCATGCATTCTGGTTTATTTCATCACTGGAATTCGTATAACTTTTATTGTCCTCTAAACTACACATACATTTCATTAAGTGTCCAGGGTAATTCACAGACATAAGTTCTTGTTAAAACAAATTACAGTTTACTTGATGCCACCCTCTGGTCAATGCAGTTGTTGGCAACCCTTCACATATAGTCTTCTAGTTGAAGATACACGCGGATGATGATGCACCTTGTAGCGCAACAGACAGTTGTCGGCTATGGAGCCACTGATATTGTGCAGGGACAGGAAGGAGTTGTTCCTGGAGGATCTCTGATCCTGTGAGCTGGCTGTGGGTTACACTGAATAGTGCTAGGATACTGATTGTCGACTGGGCCCCCAGATATTAACAACATCCTATGGCAAAGAGGAGAACCAGAGTTAGCAGTCACCAGACACTATACCATGTTCACCCCACTCTCTGTAATGATGCTCTCTAGTGACAGCGATAGTCTGCATATGCCAACTTCCAAAAGGATAACCCTGTTCCCTTTTCATACTGGGATATTTATACTCACACAAGTCTACCACAAATATGGGAATATATTTGTGTGAAAAATGCACGAGCCACACAAATACGATACAGCTTTCTTTCTTGCCGACATTGTGTTTACATTTTTGGCCATGGCAGGGCAGATGTGATGTCACACATATACTGAACTAGCATGACCTCAGCTGAATATTGATCAATACGCTGTGCTCTGTCAAGAATTCTAGCCCTAGTTGAAGGAATGCCTATATACAAATACAATTTGAGCAAAACATACTATAAAATGTATATATATATATATATATATATATATATATATATATATATATATATATATATATATATATATAGATATAGATAAAGATATATATAGATATATATAGATATATAATGTCCAAGCTGTCTGAAACCTATTAAGGGATTATGAGGCGAGAATTTTCCTCGGCTTGTAGGGAAACGCTTTGGCTAAATGCCCCCCTGCAGATTGAATGGTTGGACAGCGAGGTCCTGTAGATTCACATAACTGCCTTTGTCCTACGTTCGACATCAAGGCTGCATGTATGGTATTCATAACTATAATGTACTTACCCATGCTCATGGATGTTCCTAGATGAATCTGTGATTCAAACAGAGGTAAGCAAATAGACAGAAAAGGCAGCAGCCTCTGTTCACTCTCAGGAAGCTCAGTTAAGAATGAGTTCAAACTAAGCGTCTCTCCAGTTAGAGGTGGGAGGGGATTCATCCACGTCCAAACCAGCAGTTAGACCATTGGAATTTGTCTTCACTATCAATGAATCTCCCACCTATAAGGCTGAATTTAATGTCATTCTTAAAAGAATTAGGATATAATTGAGTATTTAACTTGACATCTTGACATATAATTACAGAAAAAGGACTATTTACCTATAAAGTAAAGTCCAAGATTTGAAGGTGTTTTATTTTGCATAGAGGTGATCAGATATGGGCAGGTCCATGACGAGAGGGATGTGGGCTGTCATGCAACAATACGATATCCTTTTCTCCATTCTGCTGGTATTTCTTTGGTCTCCAAGACTTTACTAAATAATGTGTTTAGCAATTCTGTAGATGTATTTATATTGGCCTTAATAACTTCTCTTAGGATACCATCTGAACCTGCCACCTTCCTGTCACTCATTAGATTGATACTTTTCGAATGTACCACCTCCCCTTAGTAGACAAATCTTGGATTATTTTACCATATAAGGATGAGCCAGAATTCAAAACTCTCAGTACCAGGAATTGAGAGTCCAAGAGAAACCCTAAGGAAAACATTGATGAGAGAAGCCAAAGATTCTGGACTGGATTCTTCTTCTTCTTCTTCTTCTTCTTCTTCGCGTTCACCAGCTGTACACTCTGGCGGAAAGTTCTGGTTGTTCGTCCACTCCTGGACTGCAGTCCTGCTCCAGAACCTGAGTGTTGTGTGTGCATCAGTTTGACAGGTCTGATTGACTTTAATGCAGACTGTTTGTTCCTTGCCTCTCAGGCAGATGCACTCTGACTTCAAAGAAAGCTCCCAATTAGTCTACTTTTACGACAGGCTTTTTGGGTAGACAGTGGGTCTATTCTTGTTTTCCCCACAGTGGGGCCCCGGAACCCACACGGGGAAGGACTGGATTGCATTCCTGATATTGAAATAATTGCACAGGATAGAAGAGAAACAGAGGGGAGAAATAGACCGTGTGACATTTAAAGACACTGTAGGCCAGTGAATAAATGAACTAGGGATCGAGTGCTGGACTACTGCCTTGGAAGTTACTACACTTAAACTAGCCACTGTCACTGTCTGAATCAATTATACCAGTTATGTAATATCCTAACAAATCTTATTTCAGGTCAGATTGCCTCTCTTGTCTCCAGGTGCCCGCTCAGTGACAATGCCTTGTTACAGTATTGAAAACATGCCCAGAAATAAGAACAGGTAGATTGTTTGAAATGGTTGTATTGAGAGGTTAACATGGTTATTTAAGTGTGAATGAAGAAGAGGAACAAGAAGGAGGTGGAGGGGAGAAGAGAGGAAGAAGATAAAAGGTGAAGAAGAAGATCATGTAGAAGTAGAAGATCGTGAGGAAGAAGAGGAGGTGGAAGAAGAGGGCAGGAAAGAAACGACAAGAAGGAGGTTGGAGAAGATGAGGATAAAGAAGAAAAAAATGTGAAGAAAACAGAAATAGGAGAAGAAGAAGAAAAAGGGGCGAAAAAAGCCTCGAAAAGACACCTGGCCCCAAGTGCAAAGTGTGCAGAGCAAGCTATGGGGAACCATGAAGGACTTGCTTCTGACATGCGAGTTTATTGAGGCAACCCACCTGATGGTCTTATCTGAGCATACAAAACCGAATACAAAGAAGAAGAGGAAGAAGAAGCATTACTAGGTAACTTTACTATTGCTAATAAATGTACACACCTTTAAATTCCCAAAGTAGTTAACTGAATGCCCTCTCATAATGCGCCAAAATGTTACTAAATATTTTGTTTCTAAATAATTACCGAATACTATGACTATATGTAGTAAAATAATTACTGAATACTATATCTAAATGTAGTAAAATAATTACTCTACATCTAAATGTACTAAAATAATTACTGAATACTATATCTAAATGTAGTAAAATAATTACTCTATATCAAAATGTAGTAAAATAATTACTAAATACTATATCTAAATGTAGTAAAATAATTATTGAATACTATATCTAAATGTAGTAAAATAATTACTCTATATCTAAATGTACTAAAATAATTACTGAATACTATATCTAAATGTACTAAAATAATTACTGAATACTACTATATCTAAATGTAGTAAAATAATTACTGAATACTATATCTAAATGTACTCAATAATTACTGAATACTGTATCTAAATGTAGTAAAATAATTACCGAAAACTATATCTAAATGTACTAAAATAATTACTGAATACAATATCTAAATGTACTAAAATAATTACTGAATACTATATCTAAATGTAGTAAAATAATTACTCTATATCTAAATGTAGTAAAATAATTACTGAATACTATATCTAAATGTAGTAAAATAATTACTCTATATCAAAATGTAGTAAAATAATTACTAAATACTATATCTAAATGTAGTAAAATAATTATTGAATACTATATCTAAATGTAGTAAAATAATTACTCTATATCTAAATGTACTAAAATAATTACTGAATACTATATCTAAATGTACTGAAATAATTATTGAATACTACTATATCTAAATGTAGTAAAATAATTACTGAATACTATATCTAAATGTACTCAATAATTACTGAATACTGTATCTAAATGTAGTAAAATAATTACCGAAAACTATATCTAAATGTACTAAAATAATTACTGAATACAATATCTAAATGTACTAAAATAATTACTGAATACTATATCTAAATGTACTAAAATAATTACTGAATACAGTATCTAAATGTACTAAAATAATTACTGAATACTATATCTAAATTTACTAAAATAATTACTGAATACTATATCTAAATGTACTAAAATAATTACTGAATACTATATCTAAATGCTCTTAAGTAATTACTGAATACTATATCTAAATGCTCTCAAGTAATTACTGAATACTATATTTAAATTTACCAAAATAATTACCAAATTTTATTTTTAAACGTGGCAGAGTGAACTTGGTTTCTTACTTGATGATCCATTTCAGATGCTCAGTGTATGGGAACAGTGCCAAAACAAGCTTTGACTTCAGATCCTGGGCTGCTGAAGGCTATTGATGCAAAGGTATACAGTTTGTTCAGATTGCTGTATTAAAACTGGATACATTACAAACTGATTAAAATGGATGCGAACCCGATTTGTAGCAAACTGTTGATGTGATATCACGGCTGTATTTTCTTAGTCATGTGGTGACTTAGCCAGTGTAACATTGGCTATCCTAACCTAATAATGTTTTTTTTTTTTTATGAGTCATGGATCTGTATTAATTTCTAAAAAAAATGCCTTTAAAAAAAAAAAAAAAAAACCTTAAAACACAGTTCAGTAACAAATAATGTAACTTTTTAAAAAATCTACGTTATTCATTTAAAAAAAAAATAGATAAAGTATATAAAAGGATTATTGGTAAACATGAACAGAGTGAAGAATTAAAGGGAATACATTCCTTGGGCGTACAAAATTGCAAAATGTATCGGATGACTCATGCTGTGACCTCCATCACTGAGGTTTGTGGTAAAATTTGACATCAAGCTGGCTTTCGAAAAGCCATTGGGGTCATTTGGAAACCTCCCTTAATGCAATTTTTGGCTCTCCTTTCAACTATGGCCGGTAGACAACAGTAGACGGCCGGTTAGTCAGAGTTCTGTCCCCTGGCTGCAGTGCAATTACGGAGTGAAAAGGAGGGAGCGAAACAAGTGACATAATTACTGTGGGTTGGTGATAGACAGCGTGCACTGCCCTGCTATAATCATACGGTTACAGTTTGGGTTAGGGTTAGGGTTAGGGGTAGGGTGTGGGTTGAGGTTAGGGTGTGGGTTAGGGTTAAGGTTAGTGTCGCCGCATCTCGTCTTTGCACAAACTCATAGTAGCAACCCAAACGCTAACCCTAAACCTAACCCAAACCCTACCCCTAACCCTAACCCAAACCCTAACCCAAACCGTATGATGACAGTAGGGCACTGCACGCTGTCTATCGCCAACACACAGTAATTATGTCACTTGTTTCGTTCCCTCTATTCCACACCGTAATGCGTCGCAAGAAGCGGTAATTGAACGCGGTCGCTAATGCGAGTCGCAGCGCGGGATCTGCCAGGCATGTCGACCTCACTGTGTTTTCTGAATCGTGCCTTCTCCAGCCCGTAATTGCACTGCAGCCAGGGGACAGAACTCCGACTAACCGGCCGCCTACTGTTGTCTACCAGCCGTAGTTGAAAAGAGCCCAATTTTTAGTTACTGTATTAATATCCTAGACTATCAAACAGTGCGCACACATAGTACCAGTAGAGTTTAACTATGTTTTTTTTTTGAACAGGTCAATGCAGACGTGGCCATTTATCAGTATTTACGTGACTATGTTAGAACTGGAAGTGACTAGATTGACAGGGTTAAAGTTTTTTTTTTTTTTTTATGAAAAAAATAAAAATAAGGACTATTTTTGTTCCATGCACTCATCAGGCTTATTGTGCTACTCATATTTTTATAGTCAGTTTTCAATAGGTGATGATGTCATCATCTTGCTGGCCACCTTTACTTCCCAGGACTTTACCTAGTACCCATTTTTGGCAGGGTCGACCTGGGAATCAAAGTGAAAAATTCAGACTCAGTGTAGATTCAGACCCAAGACTTTTGGGCCACTACTCTTTCGTGGCTCTCCTGGCCATCTTAGCTTCCAGAAATATGATTACACAGGCTCAACTCCAGAGCCATCCGGTCATGACCATATTGACCATATCCACCCCCCCCCCCCCCAAAAATATATCGAGGAGGTTTTGAACTCAGGGCCCTGGGCTTGTAAGTGAGTACACACTGCTTACTACACTTCTGCAGCTCCAGTACAAGATGGCAGCATTTTATTTATTTCGATGCTGTACTTGTTGGAATTTTAAAAAAAGTTGCAACATGTTCCATATTATAAAACGTAACATGTCAAAACTTTTCAGAAATTAATCTAAGTTTATTTTTGGATGGAGTTTATCCTGGTAGGAGTTTATTTTGGAGGATTTATCTTAAGAGTTTATTTCGGAAAGAGTATTTTAGGAGTAGTTAATCTTGAGATAAATTTATTTTGGAAAGAGAATATTTTGGAAGTTATTATCTTGAGAGAAGTTTAGTTTGGAGAGAGAGCATTTGGGAGAGTTTATCTTGAGAAATATTATTTTAGAAAGAGAATATTTTAGGAGGAATTTATCTTGAGGGAAGTTAATTTTGGAAAACTGGAGAAGTTTTGTTGTTGAAAACTATGGAAGTTTATTTTGGGAAAAGTATTTTGGGAGAGTTTATTTTGAGGGAAGTTTATTTTGGAAAGAGCATTTAAGGAGAATTTATCTAGAGATGTTTATTTTGGAATAACTATTTTGGAAGAGTTTTTTTTGAGAGAAGTTTATTTTGGAAAAACTATTTTGGCAGTTTATTTTGAGAGAAGTTTATTTTGGAAAAACTATTTTGGCAGTTTATGTTGAGAGAAGTTTATTTTGGAAAGAGAGATTTTAGAGAGTTTATATTTGTAGCCACTGAGTGCCAGTTAGTCTATGCAATTAAAGGTCTTGCAAGGGAAACCTGATGCATCACTGGCACATGCATGGTCCTTTACTTACTTTGTCTTGAGATGTTTGTGTTTTGAGTTGAGGTTTTCTTGTGATGAATTTATTCTTCTCCGTCTTCTTTTTCTTCACATTCACTGGCTGTAAACTCCAGCAAAAAGTTCCGGTCTACTTTTGAACTTAAGTCCAGTTCAGATCTTGAGTTCCGCATGCACATCTGGTTGACAGATCTGGCTTATTTGTATGCTGACTGTCGGTTCCTCGCCTCTTAGGCAGATAAGCTCAGACTTCAAAGAAAACACCCCTAATTAGTTGACTTTTACAACATGCTTGTTGGAGTGGGGTCTATCCACCCCTCCTCCCTTGCCCCACCAAAAAAAGGGGACCCTGAATGTAATGATGTGAATTCCCGGAGAAATCCCAGAGAGTTCCCGATGGGGAGGACAAGGTCAGAGGACTAGTGATACAAGAGAAAAACAAAATCAGTGGGTCTCAAGTATCCCATAGTGAGCGAAATAAGGAATACAAGAAAAGTATGAGACTGGAACGGAAGACGTAAACCAAGAGACGGTAGTAAGACAGTTGAAGTTTGGACCTGGTTGCGAGAGGTCGTATGTGAGCGAACGCCTGAGGAGAATGGAGAAATTGTGAACGCTTGTAATGTTTTGAGAGAAAATATGAATGTTTCCTACATAAACTAATACCAGGTACAAAGCTTTACTAGAGGATGGATGTGATTCGAGAGATGCGGATGGATCAAAGCAGTGTGCGAGAGGTTTGACCAGGCTGTCAGAAATTAGCCAGGCATAACGAACAGGAGGACGAAAGAATGCGCTGCTGTGATATGTTGTGATTCAGCGAATAAAAGTATATAACTGAACATTCGTCTCTGCTGTGTCGTAGCCACTAAGTGTTTGTCATACAGCAATGTGGCATGCAAAAGCCTACCCCTAGCAGAGCACATTGCACTGAAACCCACATGAAGAGTTTATTCAAAGAAGCTTTTACATTGGGATGTGTTTAATTTATGATGAGTTTATCTTGTGATGTTGTCGTTGACCTCTAAATTTTCCCTTTGAAATGTTTTTTTGTGTGAATGTATCTGCTGTTTATTATCTCAGATATATATTCTTTTGTTAAAACAGATGGCAGCACAGGAGTTGCAAATTCCCCATAAGAGAATGTTTGCTGAACAACCTCCTTTTGGGAAACCTCCAGTTGTCCTACCCAAAGTACCATTTATTGACCCAGAGGATTTCGCTGACAAGATCGTCAATACAAACCCCTTCAACCTCCACATGGCAAACTTGAAAGCAGAAGTCGAAGCCATGAAAGAGTTTTTCCAGATTCAGCAACAGGCAGATGTAGAACAGAAAGAGTTGCTAAATCAAGATAATCAACAGAAAATATAGGCTGAAAATCATGAACAGTTATTTGGCAACAGTCATGATCAGCAGCAAATGGAAAATGACCAGTAGTCTTTAGAGAAAAACAATATGTGGATTTCTAAAAACAAAATTGAAAAGGGAAAATCTGAATAATTATGTGCATCACACAACTGAGTATCGTTGGATTTAAAATATGCAGACATTTTGATATGTTTATAATTTTATGCTAAAATTATGTAGTCTTATCTCGTGAACATGTGTTCTTTCAGTCCCAGACACTTTGTAGTTGAACAACCCACTGACACTGAGCACCAAGTTACTTTGTAACTGAAGAGTGTTCCAATGTAACTGTTTGTTATGGTTGACTGGAGTTTCTTGGGTTTGCTTATGATTGGATTCACATCATAAGAATGACTTTTTAACTCTTTCATCTTAAAAATGCTAAGAAAATAAGTCTTGAACCTGTAGGAAATTTCCACACCCAAAAAAAAAAATCTTTCAACAAACCAAACCAAATATTACACAGGTTGCCAATACATAAAAAAAAAATTATTTATCTATATTTTACCATTTTAAAAAAAAAATGTCTAAAAATATATAAAGGGATAAACAAAACAAAATACAGGAACTGAGTGAAGAATTAAATGGAATGCAATTTTTCTGGAGTGTAAACAAACAAAATGTATCGTGTGACCCATGCCTTGATCTCATTACCTCTACCACTGAGGCTTACAGGAACATTTTACATCAATTTGGCTTTTAAAAAGCCACTGGAATCATAAGGGACCCCCCTCCTCCTCCCTTTCCCTCCACAAATGTATTTTTAGTTAGTATATTCATTTCCTGACCTATTAAACAGTGCACAGGCACATATAGGACTAATGAAATTTAGCTACACTTTTTAACAACCAGTCACTGCAGACATGGCCACATATCAGCATTTACGGGTCTGTGTCACTGCTGGAACTTGCTAGATTTAGTCTTCTCAAGGTAACTGGGTTAAGACACTGAGTGTCCATCTTTCAGGCTGCAGTCTCAAAGAGGAAAATTATAGAGAAACTTTGTAGCAAATGCCTGTGAGAGAAAGTAACCACATTGAAATAAACTGTGAGGGTATTACTGTCAATAACACAAATATATATTATATTGTCTGTTAAAATAACTGGCCAGATTTCTTTAGCATGTTAAAGAAAAAACTTGGAAAAGACATAACATACCATTTGTTGCCTGATAAATGTAAACAGTAGCTGATCTCACACAGTGTGCTGCTTGTGATAGACAAAGTCAAGCTGGTTTTATGTGGATTGAAAGGTTAATGTATGTTCATATTATGAAAAATTAGCATCCCAGTATGGGACATAATATTTTGTTATTTTAAAGCCCCACCCTGGCTGTTGTCTGAGGCCCTAAATATAACCTACAGGTTGAATGGGGTTTTTGGGACCTGTGCCCAGGTGATTCTCAATCAATTGGTGGCACTTTGCATCACCGGGTGTTTTTCGCTTGTTGTGCGCTCCTGATGGGTTGAAAGTCAGTCAGTCAGTCAGTCAGTCAGTCAGTCAGTCAGTCAGTCAGTCAGTCAGTCAGTCAGTCAGTCAGTCAGTCATATAATGTGAACATCTGCATCATTGTTTTTATCACGGCTAAACTAGGTTGTGTTCAGAACTGACATCACAGCACTCTGGACATTCCCATCAACACTCCATCTCCATCTTTTGCACTGTTTACCTACTCCCAAAAGGACTTGACCATATCTTGCATCAGTTCACTGTCCTGTGGTACAGAACCAGCCTGTCTGTCTGCCTGTTTTTTTTTCCCCAGCACACCTGTTTGCAGTAGAGAAAATACCCAAAGGATGCTAACTATCATGGACCTCTAAAGCTAAGCTTGCTGCTCTGCAAGGAACATGCCTTTCTCCAGCTGTCTTAGCGAGCTGTCTGTTAAAATCACAGCATGCATGTGCTGCTGGTTCTCTAGCAAGTGGAAAGATGCAGTAACTGCCTCCACCTCCATTCTTAAACTCAATGTTGTGTTATCATATGCTAGGCTTTGTTGCACTGGATGATCATCAATTCACTTTTACTATGAACCTCTATTCACTTCTTCTGCTTAATGATTATAGGAGTTAACTTCACTGTATTCCAATTTGCTGGCTGTGATTCCAAGAGAATTGGCACAAATGAAATGTTCATTTAACAACAGAAGCTAAGGGGCATTGTATTCTTAAATACTGGCAAACATTGGTGTTATAATTTGCTATGTATTAAAACTGTATACGATATACACATCTTAGTTTAATTCTTGCATGGAGAGCATGGTATTGGGAATGAGAGGCAGGGGCTGACAAGCTTGAAGGTGGGTTACAAAACATAGCAGCCACACTGGGCAAGAAACTATGAAGCAGCGGAGCTGGCAAGGAACTAAGTTGTTTTTCTTTCTGGCCGACTGTGATGGGAGTGGTGTTCTGTAAATTAGCTGCTATGTGACCGACCGTGATGGGAGTGGTGTTCTGTAAAGTTGGCTGCTATGTGGCCGACTGTGATAGGAGTGGTGTTCTGTAAAGTACCTGCTATGTGACTGACTATGATGGGAGTGGTGTTCTGTAAAGTACCTGCTATGTGGCCGACTGTGATGGGAGTGGTGTTCTGTAAAGTACCTGCTATGTGACTGACTATGATGGGAGTGGTGTTCTGTAAAGTACCTGCTATGTGACCGACCGTGATGGGAGTGGTGTTCTGTAAAGTTGGCTGCTATGTGACCGACAGTGATGGGAGTGGTGTTCTGTAAAGTACCTGCTATGTGACCGACAGTGATGGGAGTGGTGTTCTGTAAAGTACCTGCTATGTGACTGACTATGATGGGAGTGGTGTTCTGTAAAGTACCTGCTATGTGACCGACCGTGATGGGAGTGGTGTTCTGTAAAGTTGGCTGCTATGTGACCGACAGTGATGGGAGTGGTGTTCTGTAAAGTACCTGCTATGTGACCGACAGTGATGGGAGTGGTGTTCTGTAAAGTACCTGCTATGTGACTGACTATGATGGGAGTGGTGTTCTGTAAAGTACCTGCTATGTGGCCGACTGTGATGGGAGTGGTGTTCTGTAAAGTACCTGCTATGTGACTGACTATGATGGGAGTGGTGTTCTGTAAAGTACCTGCTATGTGACCGACCGTGATGGGAGTGGTGTTCTGTAAAGTTGGCTGCTATGTGGCCGACTGTGATAGGAGTGGTGTTCTGTAAAGTACCTGCTATGTGACTGACTATGATGGGAGTGGTGTTCTGTAAAGTACCTGCTATGTGGCCGACTGTGATGGGAGTGGTGTTCTGTAAAGTACCTGCTATGTGACTGACTATGATGGGAGTGGTGTTCTGTAAAGTACCTGCTATGTGACCGACCGTGACGGGAGTGGTGTTCTGTAAAGTTGGCTGCTATGTGGCCGACTGTGATAGGAGTGGTGTTCTGTAAAGTACCTGCTATGTGACTGACTATGATGGGAGTGGTGTTCTGTAAAGTACCTGCTATGTGGCCGACTGTGATGGGAGTGGTGTTCTGTAAAGTACCTGCTATGTGACTGACTATGATGGGAGTGGTGTTCTGTAAAGTACCTGCTATGTGACCGACTGTGATGGGAGTGGTGTTCTGTAAAGTACCAGCTATGTAAACAGACTATGATGGGAGTGGTGTTCTGTAAAGTACCTGCTATGTTGATCAACTGTGATGGAAGTGGTGTTCTGTAAAGTAGCTATTTGACCGACTGTGATGGGAGTGGTGTTCTGTAAAGTACCTGCTAAGTGAACAGACTGTGATAGGAGTGGTGTTCTGTAAAGTAGCTGCTATGTGGCCGACTGTGATGGAAGTGGTGTTCTGTAAAGTGGCTGCTATGTGACCGACCGTGATGGGAGTGGTGTTCTGTAAAGTAGCTGCTTTTTGACCGACTGTGATAGGAGTGGTGTTCTGTAAAGTGGCTGCTATGTGACCGACTGTGATGAAAGTGTTGTTCTGTAAAGTACCTGCTATATTGTCAGACTGTGATGGGAGTGGTGTTCTGTAAAGTACCTGCTATGTGGCCGATTGTGATGGAAGTGGTGTTCTGTAAAGTGGCTGCTATGTGGCCGATTGTGATGGAGTGGTGTTCTGTAAAGTGGCTGCTATGTGACCGACTGTGATGGGAGTGGTGTTCTGTAAAGTACCTGCTATGTGGCCGATTGTGATGGAAGTGGTGTTCTGTAAAGTACCTGCTATGTAGACCGACTGTGATGGGAGTGGTGTTCTGTAAAGTACCTGCTATGTGACCGACTGTGATGGGAGTGGTGTTCTGTAAAGTACCTGCTATGTGACCGACTGTGATGGGAGTGGTGTTCTGTAAAGTACCTGCTATGTGGCCGATTGTGATGGAAGTGGTGTTCTGTAAAGTACCTGCTATGTAGACCGACTGTGATGGGAGTGGTGTTCTGTAAAGTACCTGCTATGTTGATTGACTGTGATGGAAGTGGTGTTCTGTAAAGTGGCTGCTATGTGACCGACAGTGATGGGAGTGGTGTTCTGTAAAGTACCTGCTATGTGACAGACTGTGATGGGAGTGGTGTTCTGTAAAGTACCTGCTATGTTGACCGACTGTGATGGGAGTGGTGTTCTGTAAAGTACCTGCTATGTTGATCGACTGTGATGGGAGTGGTGTTCTGTAAAGTGGCTGCTATGTGACCGACAGTGATGAGAGTGGTGTTCTGTAAAGTACCTGCTATGTGACAGACTGTGATGGGAGTGGTGTTCTGTAAAGAACCTGCTATATTGACCGACTGTGATGGGAGTGGTGTTCTGTAAAGTGGCTGCTATGTGACCGACAGTGATGGGAGTGGTGTTCTGTAAAGTACCTGCTATGTGACAGACTGTGATGGGAGTGGTGTTCTGTAAAGTACCTGCTATGTTGACCGACTGTGATGGGAGTGGTGTTCTGTAAAGTACCTGCTATATTGTCAGACTGTGATGGGAGTGGTGTTCTGTAAAGTGGCTGCTATGTGACCGAC